TGTATTAATGTGGCATCTACCGTGAGAGGATATAGAAATGTAGGCACAGTTGTTTTTATTTTTCAGACGGAAATAAGCAAACAGCTCGTCGGCGAAACAAGCGCGTCGCTTATTTCAGCTACAGTTGAAAAGTATAAAAAGGTGCAATAACATTAGCGTTATTCCAAGCAGAGTTTCTTCCAGGTATCTCTTCGGACGAGATGGCATTTATATAAAAAACATATACTTTTACTAGTGTCCCCCCCCCCCCCCCCCCGGAAAATATAAACCGCCCCCCCCCTCCCCCGAAAATATCAAGTGCCCCCCTCCCCCCGCCGGAGAAAAGTCTGAAAGAAACACTGATTCCAAGACAATCCAAAAAACGACAAGATCTAGAAAAAGTTGCGGTCTGTTGATTGCATTAGTGAAACTAAGGGTTGCTTGTACAATAGTAATAAAACGAATATCTGGCGGCTGGAATACGACACAGACGTTAACTTTAAAACATTGATGTCAATACATTTTTATTACAACTTCACAATGGGTGTTTTTACCTTTGGTTAATTTACTTTATGCAAAAATCTTCATGAGAACTAGTTTAAAGACATGTTTAAATTCGTTTGTAAAAAGAGTAATTTCTTATGAATCTATTCGGTTGATTGTTCCGAAATAGCTAAGTACAAATGTATCTTCTATCTTCTTCTTCTAAATCCCGTTCGTGGGAAGTAGAGTTCTTCTGATGCAGAGACCACGGTATAGTGTGGTCTTTGATAGGTACCCATCAGAGCTGGGTGGACTCGGGGATTCGAACTCGAGACTCTCGGGTTAGCTATCTATTTAGCCGTCCCATTGATCTTCTGCCAGCTCTTTCTTATTTCAGCTAATTCAGTCGCAAACATTTTCAATCGAATTTTAATATTAAATTAGTCCATTTTAAAATTATTCGATTCAAATAACAAGGGTAGATAACTAGGTTTCCGCCTTCAACCCATCAATCAGGTGACCTGGCGTGGTTTAACACATGTTTACTTATCTATAGGGCTGGTAAGTAGGTCACCAACCAGTTCTATGGCTCATGCAGGTTTTATTGAGTCGTAGAACTGGTTTGTGACCTACTTAGCAGCCCTATAGGGCTTGTAAGTCTTGGCCTCTCTCACTAAAAATTCAAAATTTTGTTGGCTTGGAAGAGAAATAAATTTTTGAACTAAATGAATCGTTGTGAGCATGATTCTCAAATGATAACAGATAAAACATGTCAATTATTTGTTTCTATATTTTAAAGAGTACCTAAATGCTACAAATTATAAATTTTTACTAATAGTAGGATCAAATTAGGCTATTAATATTATTATATTGTAACTAGGTTTAGGAAAACTTGTTATGGATCAGAATAAATATTAACTGTACGCCTCTTAAATTAAAAGATGTAACTTTTCTATTTTTTTAAAACTGCTTGAATAATTCAAATTGGTTTGAAAAATACAAACTGGCAAGTACAAGTTGGTGACCTACTTACAAGCCCAATTTAGGCGAGATAATTCACTAGTGAGCTTATAAAAGGGCTACTCGAAACGATTGTTATAAGGGAATATTAGAGATGTTAATTAGATTCGGTTTCAATGAATGTTACCTCAAGACCTATTTGCTTAGTATGTTGTTTTTAACTGAAGTATCGACGTACTCTAATGTCTTTTTAGTATTTAAATGGGGGAAGATTTAAAACGTTTCTTGTAACCATTTTTTTTTAAAGCTCGACAGTTATGAAAAAAATAAACATACATTTTCTGTAACTATAATAGTAACATTGAAAACATTTTCTGTAACTATAATAGTAACATTAAAACATTTTCTGTAACTATAATAGTAACATTAAAACATTTTCTGTAACTATAATATTAACATCATAACATATTCTATAATTATAATGGTAACACCAAAAACATTTTCTGTAACTATAATAGTAACACCAAAACATTTTCTGTAACTATAATAGTAACATTAAAAACATTTTCTGTAACTATAATAGTAACATTAAAACATTTTCTGTAACTATAATAGTAACATCATAACATATTCTATAATTATAATAGTAACACCAAAAACATTTTCTGTAACTATAATAGTAACACCAAAAACATTTTCTGTAACTATAATAGTAACACCAAAAACATTTTCTGTAACTATAATTGTAACATTAAAAACATTTTCTGTAACTATAATAGTAACATTAAAAACATTTTCGGTAACTATAATAGTTACATTAAAAAAGATGATTGAAAATAATTCTGAAAGGATTTATAAAGCGCCCAATTGTTTATTTTTATCACCACAGCAAAGAAGTAATTGCTCTTTAATTGCTTCTTAACTCTTCTTCATGTTTACCAACTATATTCAAAGGAAGCTACTAGCACTTTGTGTTTGTATTATCGTCTAAAAATGTCACGTGTTCGCTACTATAATAGTCCGTTGTTGTATTTCGGAGGTCAGTTTGCGACTTCCGGGGTCAGAGTTCAGGCCTGCCCATGTCTAACGAGAGATCGATCAGTAAAGTTTGATCTTACTAGAACTAGCTGGCCGAAGGGTTTACACATCTGACCTGATCAAGTCTGGTTGTTGTCTTTACTGGGGCTTTATAACGTCCCTAAATCTGCTTTCGTTATTGTAATGATACTCATGTTTACATTTGTTACTTCATCAACAATGGTATCTTCCAAACACCTCTTCCTGTTTAATTATTATTTTTATTATTTTTTTTTTTTTGCAACATAGTTATTTTAAACGTTGCTGTACTAGTTTTATTTTCCTTTGCCGCAGCCAACTGGCAATCTAGTACTGCATAAGAATTTTTTTTTAAAAGTTAGTATAAATATATCTACCAATTTCCATACATTTTTATTTTATAGTCCCAAACTACCAACGGGTTTTAGTGCTAAATTAAAATGTGTGTAAAGCGAGACAACTGTAGAAATCTTTCAACGAATTTGTTTGCTTGCTTACTTCCCTTACAGAAATTTTTGCTTTTTTTTTTCTTGCTTTCGCCTTTTTTGTCTATCATCATTCATCAAACTAAATTTTATTTAATTATTATTTTTTAACTTTTCCAGAATTCAAACAACGTAAATTATTTAAATTATTGATTTCTGTGGTTTTACTTTGAAGATACTATACAGCTGTGTAAAAAGCGTTTTTATGGGCCCATCGAGAATGAATACGAACACATAGTCTACAATAAACTATTATAATAAGAAAAATTACTCAGATATCAGGAGAAAAATTGACCAGAGAAGCTACTCCATTCCAGGCAATTCAAACGTATCCGACCTATGCTTTTTCCATTAATTGAATAAAATTGTTGAATAATTATAAGGGGAGAGAATATAAAAGTAAACGCTTTAAAAATTTATTATTTGTTATTTCCCTTTTACTGTGTGGGGGAAAAATTCTCTATGTATTAATTGTAAAAGATAATTTGGACATAAATCGATATAGTTTTATTACATTGTGCAAAAAATAGCAGAAAATTTTATTATATTTTTTAAAGAACTGATTTTAGTAAAATATTACTTTTAATTCGTTGAATACTAAAGACAAATAGACAACAGTCAAATTAAGACAATCCCTAACCATGTTCTTACAGTCCTTGTAAAGATAATAGAAAACAGTGGCCTTTTCATCTACCGCTGGCCAAGGGATTACCCAATGAAGTGTTAAGGCAACACTTGAATAATGATTAAGCCTAAATGATTAAGCCTAATTCATTAGATGAGTAAGGTTCCACAGCATGCATCAGGCGTCTTCCTTATCAGATTTCATCACACTAAGATAGCAGACCACCGCTTACCCCCCTTATTTGAAGTTTCATTACACTAGGGCAGGGGTCGGCAACTTTTAAAGACGTAGGAGCCAAAAGTTACAATTTACAAAATGTCCCAGTTTTTAAAGGGTTACTAACATTTTTATTTGATAATTATGGTATTGGATTAGGATTAAGTGAATACATTTGATTTTTCATTTAAAAATAAATAACTTTAAAAATGAAATACTAGATCTAATTACTCATATGAAAACATACAAATGTTTCGCACAAAACAAATTAAGTATCTTAGTTTGCTCTGCTAGAAAAATAAAATTTGTAATTAAATAATATATCTGTACGACGGTACCTACCCACTTTAGAACAGTGTTTCTTCCAGACTTGAAATTTCCGGGGGAGCGGTAGACTTTCTTCGGGGGGGGGGGGGGGGGGGGCGACTGTTAAATGTATATATTTTCTATATAAATTCCATTTCGTTCGGGGAGACGGTAGACTTTCTTGGTGGGAGCTTCGCACTTCCGAAGAGGTGCCTGGAAGAAACTCTGCTTTAGAAGCTAATAACTAAAAAAACCACCGTCACTCTGGTCAAACTAAAGCATACTGACAGATAGAGAAATGCATTCTGAATAAATAACATATACCATTCAACGATATTCGAAAAAGGCACATGGGCAGTTGCAATAATAGAACCGTCGCCACGGGGCTGGCCACAGCACGGCCGTAGGGCTGGACCTGGGGCTCAAGCGGCTGTCTGCTTTTCTTATACTCTCTACTCCCTATTCGTACTTCTCTAATGAGTGTTTTTATCCTGTTTAAAGTTGTTGTTGTTTACAGTAAAAAAAAAACATATTTTAAAATGATTTTTGACAATGGTACCAGTTAGCAGAATTTTACCCACATCTCCAGTTCTTTTAAGGTACCCGTTACTTGTTTCATATTTTGTTATATATATTTTTTTAAATTATTATTCTGAAGATAAAATGCAAGTCCACTCTAAGAGTTAGGCTGTGTGCCTCCAATGTCATTTTGGCTGGTTCATACTAGATCTAGATCTATACTCTACTTATACATTATACGGGATAATTTAGTTTGTTTACTTTGATTCTTTATCAAGGAAAACTACTCTTAAAATTGTGTTATTCACAGCAGATACATGAATTATTTCCCTTGAACAGCACACTGTAAGAGTACAGGTTCCGTTACAGAAAGCGCCACCTTGCGGTTATTGAACTGTGTAGTGAGGTATATTACCCGCGGGAATAACACACTTCTTTAATTATTTCACTTTCTAAAACGACAAATGTTATTTTTAAATTGTAATAGAGGGTGTTTTTCATCTTTTTAGTATAAAACGTCGTCCTGATATATTGTACTAAGTTTTAATTAACAATACAGATTGTTTATCTCGCGCGTGCCTGTGTAAAAGTTGGAGCAAAAACAACTTCGCCAATGCAAAACAAACATGGCGGAGACCTATCAAGAAAGTGGACTATTAAATGGCACTGTGGCACATTCGTTATCGGATGATACAGGTATAGTCGACACTACACACGTGAATGTAGATAATGAGGGGGACCATGACGAATTGATTCGTCAAGCTCTTGCTGAGGCTAACGCTTTTGATTCCGTTTCTTATGCGGTATCAAATGAAGGTTCTGCAGTTTGTGACACAGGCCAGGGACAAGACCCAGCTGATGCTGATCTGGATGGTAATCATTCAGAATCATCTTATCAAACAAGTACTGGTGTTCTTCACCAGCCTTCGGACCACTTGCTGAATGGAACAGCTGAAGAAATTTTTTCAAATGGGACTGGTGAATTGCTCACAAATGGGACTTCGGAAAATGTTCTAGGTGATGAGAATATTACTTATGCTGTAAATGTTGATTCCTTGCCAGAGGGTCACATAATTTCAATTCCAAATGATATTATGACAACTTCCATTGTTTCACAAAACCAGACACAACTCTCAAATAATTGTAGTGACGCTTCACAGCTACTTCAAGATGTGATAAAGTCTGAATATTCAGATGGCAGTAGCTCAGACTTGTTACAGGCAGATTCTAATTCCAACCTGACTACTTCACAATCCATTGCTGTTTCACAATCAAACAATATTCACATGTCTCAAGATGTCCTGCAAAGTGTTATCCAACAAGTCCAGGCACAGCAAATGGCCCAACAAGCTATGTTACAAAATAAGCAGACAGATGGTTCTACTGTGCCACAGCAGGAGACCATTAGTTTCACCCTTGTTTCACCTAGTCCACAAGCAAATTCACCACCACTTGGTTCCAGTCAGAACCCTATCAGAATAATTCAGCAAGGGAACCGGTACACACCCATGCAACAACTTACACCAGACCAACTCCAGCAGATTATGCAGGTTGTGCAGCAGCAGCATGTCAGCAAAGCGCCACAAGAAAGCAACGGTGCTGTTATATTCAACCCTCAGACCAACACAAGAATCATGTATAGGGTAATATACCCGTCAGAACTTCATAAATCACAAAATTCTTCTGTTACAACGACCTACCAGGTTTTGCAGCCCACTACTTCATCACAGGAGCAACAGACCAGCACCCCCCATCAAAAGAGAGCTTACCGTAAAAGAAAAGATTTAGCATTGGTGTCATCAAACTCTGGAGTTGATGAAATGACAGACAAAAATGGCTCTGATGCACCTGAGCTATCCAAGGAAGAAAAAGAAGAAAGAAAGAAACACAGACCCAGGACTCGGTCAGGACGTGTATCAAAGCCACCTAAGCATATGGTACAGGACTACAAACATATTCATGTCTTAGATTGGGACGAGGACTATGATGACTCTGATGGTGGATATTCAGATTTTAAACATAGCGATGAGGAAGAAAAATCTAAACTAAAGCAGGAAGGGGAAGATGAAAGCTTGGCATCTCCAGAGCTTTTTCCAGGTAAGTTTTTTTTTAAACTACAAGCACAAACTAAACTTTTACCAGGAATAAACAAACCAAGCTTTGAATACACATCTGGTTTGTGTGTGGATGGGGTGGGAGGGTGTATAATTAGTTAACTACAAAGTCCATAGTTTAGACCTTGGACGAATTGGGCTAATTAAATTTAATGAAGAGGGGGACAGAAAACCAATAAAGGAGAGGAATCCTCAAAATCAAACAACTGCTGACTGCAGATTGTTCTTGGGTGGACAGAGGCTAAAAAAGTGAATCCAGAAATTAGTAATACAGGCTGAATTTTAAGTAAACAGACCATATGTCACATAACATGTTGTCATGTGATACTTAGGTTGTTGTAAATCCTCTCACATATTACAGTTGAGAATAAAAAAGAAGAAATGTGGCATCTGTACTCAACATGTAGCGATTGAGTGGCCTAGCGGTATAGAGCTAGACTACTAACCCGTAAATCTCGAGTTCAAATCCAGGTTCAAGTCAGTAGACTGTCCCTGAGTCCACTCAGCTCTGATGGGTACCTAACTCAAGTTAGGGAAAGTAAAGGCTTAAAAGGCAGCTGGGCATAGTGCTGACCACACTATCCTTTCATTTTCTGAGGTCACAGAAACAGGTGAACTCTACTTCACTTGTCCCATAGACTGTCAGGTTTGGAAGGGGAACTTTACTTTACTTACTTACCCCACATATATATTGGGTTATTAATTCAACTCCATCCATCATACATTTTGATGAACTTAAGCTCATTATTGTAATCGAAAAATACACAACACACTAGCTTTGGCAACACAATTCAATTAACTGTACATAGAAGCAAGTCCCTTATAAAGAGAAATGGATACAGTAAATGTAGTAACTACCCAAGTCTTGTTTATGTTCAGATATTCACGCAATCTGTTTCAAGCATTCTCTAGATCTAAGCCTTCTCCTTCCCATTGTCTATCTATACAATTGTTATTAGAAGCTCATGAATATGTAAAGAACCAGTATGAGTAGGCATATTGTCATTCCATCAACAAGCTGGAGCCTGCCTTAGTAAAGTTAGTTTGACTAATATAACCCACAAATGGTTATTACTCACCTAATTTATGAAGGCTAAACATAGTTTTACTTATTTGACATAGTAATGTTGGCAGGGTATTTTATTACTTTATCGAAGTAATGTTGGCAGGGTATTATTACTTTGTCGAAGGAAGACATAGGTATGTACTCATTTGACAGGATCACCCTCACCATTAATAGACAGTATTCTAAAGTTAGGTATTGTGTGCGTAGTCTTTGTTATTTTATTTAGTGTAATTATTTATTTAAGCTTAAATAAAAAAATTGGTCTGCGTTAAATAAATTTAAAAATTGACTTTAAATTTAAGTAGCTTGAAACTATATTTATTAAACTGAAACCCAGTATTAGTACACTGGTGCAAGGTGGAATCGCCCAAAACTGAGTATGATTGTGGGATGTGGTTGCATGCTGTACAAGGGGTCCACAGGAATGATGATGATGTGAAATAAATGTAATTAGGTTTCTTTTTAAGATAATAGTCTGAAGTGAAGATCAGGTTAGTCGTTACCTAGTCACTCAGGCTTGGGTTAGGTATTGTTAACAGTTTACAAGTATAAAATTCAGTCTCCAATTTCTAGAAAGTTTTAAGATTTGTTTTGAGAGGACTGGTGTCAACTAATTTAAAAAAAATATTCTAGAGAGCAAACTGAAGGTTGATTAGTTTACTTCAAGGATTCTTTCACACAGGTGGATTACAATTACCTGTAGCCTGGCTATAAGATATCCTGTACAGCAGGTTGTCTTGAGGACAGCATTATCTATAAACATGACTAGGATATAGTGATATTAAAAGCAAGATAAATGGTAGAAACAATCATACAATAACATTTAGTTATGAAGAATTTTTTTTTCAACTGGCAGTATATCAGGAAGCAAAGTTACAAAAACATGGATTATAAAATCTTTTTGGAAAAACTGTTTTAGGATTTAAGACATAAATTGTGACATATTATGACTAGCCTTGTGGTGACTTCTCATCTGCAAAGAAGTTAATTAATACTTAATTTGCCTAATGTATTATCTTTTTTTTTTGTTCATTTTATACTTGAATCCCTATTTTAATTGATTAATATTTTATTTTTTGAAAGTTTTTATCAGCCACAGTTGGAGTGTATAAGTATACTTCAGATGTAGTGAAATGGTTATGTAGTGTTTGATCAACAATCAACACACACATTTTATATCTATACACAATGGAAGTGAAGTCTTATTATTATAATTGTTTCGTCATTGTTATTATTTAGTCCATCTGTCAAACATTTGGTTTAAAATTCTTTTCAAACAATGAATAGCAAGTTGTAGGCTGTAAGACTTTAACATATAATTTAAGTTTTTTAAAATGTATTTCCCCAGTAAGTGAGTTAGTGTTAGATTAGAAAGTTAAATAAAAACAGCAATTCTTTGTCTTCTAATGAAGACCTTGAAAGAGGCGAGTTCCTTAGAAAAATATTTTTCCCCTCAGGTCCCATGCTTTAACAAAATGTATCAAAAGTGAAATGTTCCTATAATTTAGTTTAGCGAATGTTTAGTTTACATAGCAACATATAACTCTCTTAGCTTAAATCGTTGTTGAAATATAATATGCACAACTGGTCAATACTAGACGTAATCAATGTTCTATTAATGTGTATCGCTGAACACATTACAACTGGTCTTAACCATAAAGGCTAAGTACCAATGGGATACCAGCGATGGTGTCAGCTGAGCAGCCAATGGAAAAGTACCAGGGATTGCTCTCCCTTGTGATGGCCTGGTATCACTGATCAGCGATGGAACTTGACAAAAATATATTAGTCTTTCTCCATTACCTTCTTGTCCCACACAATCGGTCTATCGCGATTTACGTAAACCTCTGCCATATGTTGGTGAGATGTAGCTGGTTTAGTGGTCAACACTCTGGGTCAGGCTGACCTTTAATAGAGCGTATGTATCCTTCATGCTTTTTAGTGGTGCTCTTGTTAATGTAGTTAATACAGCAGATGGCGGCTTGGGGCTATTTTTAGCCATGATTTATCGGAAGTGATGTTTGCTTTCGCTCGCGGTCGTCAGGCCTTGCAGCAGTTAGGTCCATCACGTGGGTCTCTTGACAGCCTGCATTTAAACTTTCGTTCTCGTCCTCTGCAGGCATCTTACTTGTGGTCATTGGACAACCTGATTGGTTACTTTCTTTGCCAGCGTTTTATCATGCGGGTCACTTGAATGGACATCTTGAATGTTTACTTCCTCTAATCTTTTCTTTCTCCCGAATGTTTACATTTATCTGCCAGATAAATGCTCAAAGGGCAACATGATTGTTTCCTTTCTCTTGAATGTTTACTTTCTTTGCATCTGCCAGCATTTACCTCGTGGTCAACGGGCGACCAGTGTTTCTTCCAGACTTTTTTCTCGGGGGGGGGGGGGGGGGGGGGTCACTGTTAAAAGTATATATTTTCTATATAAATTCCATTTCGTTCTGGGGGCGGTAGACTTTCTTCGCCCCCCCCCCCCCTCCTTCAGCCCGAAGATGTGCCTGGAAGGGCAGCCTGATAGTTTCTTTTCCCTTGAATGGTTCAATTCCCTGCCTGCAACTACATTGTGCTTGCACCTGTCCTCGACTGTCGTCTTGCGGGCCTACAAATGCGCGACTACACGGAAGATGCCCTGACCTATAGCTGCACGCAAAACTAGGATACAATGGAAGCAGCTGTTTTAAAGGGTTCACGTTGAGAATTTTAAAATCAATACAGGGACGCTGCACAGACACTTGATCGAAGCTGACACGTTCGTTTGTTGATCTTATGAACTAACCATCGCTAGCCTGTCACGTTGGTTTGTTGATCTTATGAACTAACCCTCGCTAGCCTGTCACGTTGGTTTGTTGATCTTATGAACTAACCCTCGCTAGTCTGTCACGTTGGTTTGTTGCTCTTATGAAATAACCCTAGTTTGCCTGTCACGTTGGTTTGTTGATCTTATGAACTAACCCTCGCTAGCCTGTCACGTTGGTTTGTTGCTCTTATGAAATAACCCTAGTTTGCCTGTCACGTTGGTTTGTTGATCTTATGAACTAACCCTCGCTAGCCTGTCACGTTCGTTTGTTGATCTTATGAACCAACCCTCACTCGCCTGTCACGATGGTTTGTTGATCTTATGAACTAACCCTCGCTAGCCTGTCACGTTGGTTTGTTGATCTTATGAACTAACCCTCGCTAGCCTGTCACGTTGGTTTGTTGATCTTATGAACTAACCCTCGCTAGCCTGTCACGTTGGTTTGTTGATCTTATGAACTAACCCTCGCTAGCCTGTCACGTTCGTTTGTTGATCTTATGAACCAACCCTCACTCGCCTGTCACGATGGTTTGTTGATCTTATGAACTAACCCTCGCTAGCCTGTCACGTTGGTTTGTTGATCTTATGAACTAACCCTCGCTAGCCTGTCACGTTCGTTTGTTGATCTTATAAACTAACCCTCGCTAGCCTGTCACGTTCGTTTGTTGATCTTATAAACTAACCCTCACTCGCCTGTCACGATGGTTTGTTGATCTTATGAACTAACCCTCGCTAGCCTGTCACGTTCGTTTGTTGATCTTATGAAATAACCCTCGCTTGTCTGTCACGTTGGTTTGTTGATCTTGTGAAATAACCCTCGCTAGCCTGAAACGTTCGTTTGTTAATCCACTGAAATAATTGTGTACTGATGCCATCATGATTGTTGAATTGTGTACTAACTGTCGCTAAGCTGCCGAGGTAGAACTCTGCCATCATGATTGTTGAATTGTGTACTAACTGTCGCTAAGCTGCCGAGGTAGAACTCTGCCATCATGATTGTTGAATTGTGTACTAACTGTCGCTAAGCTGCCGAGGTAGAACTCTGCCATCATGATTGTTGAATTGTGTACTAACTGTCGCTAAGCTGCCGAGGTAGAACTCTGCCATCATGATT